TTCGAATATTCCCGCCAGTGGCTCTGCATTGATGTCGGCCAGTGCCTTCAGCACCCTTGGATGGAGCTCATCCGGGCCTGCCGACTTAAAGGCATCCAGTTCCTCCAAGTGACTCTGCACCATCTCAGGGTCTACGCATGGTAGTCTGGCGCCTTGCTGCTGCCTCTCTACAGCCCCAGTGAGAGACTTGTCGTGCCCCTCACTTAGGAACACTGAGGCAAAGAACTCGTTGAGGAGTTCAGCCTTGTCCCCTCTGTCCGTCACCAATTGTTTCTGCCCATTTAGCAGGGGTCCTATTCCTCCCTGGGCCTTCCTTTTACTCCCAATATATCTAAAAAACAATTTCTTGTTGTCCTTTACTTGGGATGCCATCCTCAGCTCCATTGCAGCTTTGGCCCGTCTAACTGCCTCCCTACAAGCACGAGCAGAGGAGGTATATTCATCTTTGGTGATCTCTCCCTGTTTCCACTTTTTATGTGCTCCCCTTGACATGATGTCTCCTCCTGTCCTTCTCTACTTCCTCTTTCTGCCCCTTCTGATTCATTTTTGTCTCTGTTGCTGCTCTTAAGACTACATACACTATTTCAACTTCCAGGAAGTAACATATCACCAGTGACACTGACTATACACAAAGTGCTGTCCAATGTATAAAAAAAATTCTAAAGGCAAAACCCTGAATGAATGCAACCTTGTTCTCTAACGTCTTTCGGTCTTCTTAAACATGCTAGTTTATAACAAGAAGCAGAAAAACCTGTGAGATAGAACTCTGACTTTCAATATTGATGGTGCCTCTTAAAGATGGTTAATTATTAACAACTAATGATTAGTTAGGGTAGAATCTATCCTGGAACTGTGACTCTGAAAGGGTCTCATGGGTCATGTTAGATAAATAATTGCCCAAGAGTTTCTGGTCTAATTCTTGGATGTATAAGCAGTGGGATACAATACCTGCCTAAGCACCCTGCTGGCTGGTGGAGTTGTCTAATCTGAATCAGGTTCTCAGGCTCACAATGCATGGGAAGAGTTAGGCCTAAGGAAGGATTCCCCAAAACTACCTAAGTCTTACCCAGGGGTGAAATGAAAAGGAAAAAGATGAGGCTTGAGTGACGATCTCTGGCAAACACCTCCCCCCCACTCCCCACTTCAGTCAGATCAGCTACATAATTGGCCACAGCTGATTTTTCTTATCCATAAAAAAAATGAGGGGGGGACCCCCACAAACAGAAAATAGTCTTGTGATGTGGGATACTGAATTCAAATTGTCCCTTCTCTGCCTGATTTGGACTCAGGTCTCCCACCTCACTGGGGAGCACCCTAACCGCCAGGAGACAGACAGGTCTCACCAGCATTCCCTGTGTGGTGGGCTGTCACTTGGTTTTGGTGTGATCAGAGCATGCCTAAAGGTTTGAGAAACCTATTTCAAAGCTTTGACTAGAACAGCAGAGCTACAAGCAAATCATTAACTGAGAGGTGAAATCAATTCATAGGTGGCGGTGTGTAGGTCATTGGTTCCCAGCCTCGGGGCGCAACCCAAATCAGGGTCACAGGGTGTCCTCAATAGGGTCACGAAGGGCCTGCACATATCTGCACATGCACACTCATGCACGCGGCCCAGGAGCAGCAGGCGGGGAAGGGCTGCCATGCACAAAGGGAGCAATGGTGGCTTCCCCACTTCTGCCCCTGAGCCGCACTCCACTGCCAGCAGCCCCCACGGTCCTGGGTTGGGAGGTCCTGTTGGTGGCCGATTTAGGGTTGCAGCATAAAAAGGTTGGGAACCACTGGTGTATGTGTTAAACAGCAGATGAGCAGAGGGTCCCAATGATATCAGTGCATTCTAATTGTTAGACTTACAAGTATAAAGAGACAAACGAGTGAACAAAGACCTATAAGAATCTGAGCCCAACTCCCATAAACAGGAGAAGAGTAGAGGGCTCTTTCATTACATAAGACATATCATCAGGTCCAATGGCTGAAAACTGAAGTCAGACAAATTTGGGCTGAAACTAAAGTACATTTATAAATGCAAGGGTTATTAACCACTGAAGCAACTTGCCAAAGGTTGTAGCAGACACTCCATCCTTGAATTCTTTAAATTAGCACCAGGTATGTTTTTAAAAAGATACATCTTCAACCAGAAATTATGGGTGTGATATAAAAATGATTCAGTAGATTTCTGTGGTCTGTAGAAGATCAGAAAAGATCATCAGAATTGCCTCATCTAGCCTCAAAATTCACAATTCTATGAAAACTGCCTGTGCAATATTTGTCTTTTTGGGGTTTTCAAAAGAAGATGGTGAGGTGGGGTAATGGTTCGCTTTTCATCATTGTTTTTGAAGTCCTGGCTTCACGACAATGATGGAACAATTTTGAGGCTGCAGGAACTGGGAGCTGGAACTCCAAAATTATCTTCCTGGTTCTGCCTCTAAGTTCACTCTGTGGCCCCGTACCTCAGATTCCCCATCTTTATAATAAATGAAAATGGAGCACCTTGCAGGGTTGCTGTGAAGCTAAATGCATTACATCTCACAAAGGACAGGTTTAAGCTCAAATGAAAGATGCTAGAGAATTGCATATTACCGTAATGAATCTATGGTTGCTTAGAGTTTGATGGTTGACACTATGCCAAAGAATTTGGCCACTGAGGGTCCTGGAAGACGTTCATTTAATGACACAATGGGATCTGATCCCAGATCCCAACAATTGCACATCCTGGCAAGTTGAAAGCCATGTACAGTACAGCCCATGGGTTAAGTGAGAGGAGTCAATTGTCTGCCTCCTCCACCATTCCCCCACTCAGCAAGTTCAGATGCAGGGTAGCTTTTAAAGGTCCCAGGGTGCTGGGGTGCCAGAACTGGGGAAAGGTTCCTCAGTCTTGGGCTTTCAGCACCCCAGGACTTTTAAAA